GCTGTAGGACAACATGGCTTCAATATAACACTCAGTCTATCACCACCAACATCTTGCTGTAGGACAACATGGCATCAATGTAACACTCAGTCTATCACCACCAACATCTTGCTGTAGGGACAACATGACTTCAATGTAACACTCAGTCTATCACCACCAACATCTTGCTGTAGGACAACATGGCTTCAGTGTAACACTCAGTCTATCACCACCAACATCTTGCTGTAGGACAACATGGCTTCAATGTAACACTCAGTCTATCACCACCAACACCTTGCTGTAGGACAACATGGTTTCAGTGTAACACTCAGCCTATCACCACCAACATCTTGCTGTAGGACAACCAGGCTTCAGTGTAACACTCAGTCTATCACCACCAACACCTTGCTGTAGGACAACATGGCATCAATGTAACACTCAGTTTATCACCACCAACACCTTGCTGTAGGACATCATGGCTTCAATGTAACACTCAGTCTATCACCACCAACATCTTGCTGTAGGACAACATGGCATCAATGTAACACTCAGTCTATCACCACTAAGATCTTGCTGTAAGACAGAATGGCATCAATGTAACACTCAGTTTATCACCACCAACACCTTGCTGTAGGACATCATGGCTTCAATGTAACACTCAGTCTATCACCACCAACATCTTGCTGTAGGACAACATGGCATCAATGTAACACTCAGTCTATCACCACCAACACCTTGCTGTAAGAGAGAATGGCATCAATGTAACACTCAGTCTATCACCACAAACACCTTGCTATAGGACAACATGGCATCAATGTAACACTCAGTCTATCACCACCAAAATCTTGCTGTAGGACAACATGGCTTCAATATAACACTCAGTCTATCACCACCAACATCTTGCTGTAGGACAACATGGCATCAATGTAACACTCAGTCTATCACCACCAACATCTTGATGTAGGACAACATGGCTTCAATGTAACACTCAGTCTATCACCACCAACATCTTGCTGTAGGACAACATGGCTTCAGTGTAACACTCAGTCTATCACCACCAACATCTTGCTGTAGGACAACATGGCTTCAATGTAACACTCAGTCTATCACCACCAACACCTTGCTGTAGGACAACATGGTTTCAGTGTAACACTCAGTCTATCACCACCAACATCTTGCTGTAGGACAACATGGCATCAATGTAACACTCAGTCAATCACCACCAACATCTTGCTTTAGGACAACATGGAATCAATGTAACCCTCAGTCTATCACCACCAACACCTTGCTGTAAGACAGAATGGCATCAATGTAACACTCAGTCTATCACCACCAACACCTTGCTGTAGGACAACATGGCATCAATGTAACACTCAGTCTATCACCACCAAAACCTTGCTGTAGGACAACATGGCATCAATGTAACACTCAGTCTATCAACACCAACCCCTTGCTGTAGGACAGCATGGCATCAATGTAACACTCAGTCTATCACCACCAACACCTTGCTGTAGGACAACATGGCATCAATGTAACACTCAGTCTATCACCACCAACACCTTGCTGTAGGACAACATGGCATCAACGTAACACTCAGTCTATCAACACCAACACCTTGCTGTAGGACAGCATGGCATCAATGTAACACTCAGTCTATCACCACCAACACCTTGCTGTAAGACAGAATGGCATCAATGTAACACTCAGTCTATCACCACCAACATCTTGCTGTAGGACAACATGGCATCAATGTAAAACTCAGTCTATCACCACCAACATCTTGCTGTAGGGACAACAAGGCTTCAATGTAACACTCAGTCTATCACCACCAACACCTTGCTGTAGGACAACATGGCATCAATGTAACACTCAGTCTATCACCACCAACACCTTGCTGTAGGACAACATGGCATCAATGTATCACTCAGTCTATCACCACCAACACCTTGCTGTAGGACAACATGGCATCAATGTATCACTCAGTCTATCACCACCAACACCTTTCTGTAGGACAACATGGCATCAACGTAACACTCAGTCTATCACCAACAACAACTTGCTGTAGGACAACATGGCATCAATGTAACACTCAGTTTATCACCACTAACATCTTGCTGTAAGACAGAATGGCATCAATGTAACACTCAGTTTATCACCACCAACACCTTGCTGTAGGACATCATGGCTTCAATGTAACACTCAGTCTATCACCACCAACATCTTGCTTTAGGACAACATGGGATCAATGTAACCCTCAGTCTATCACCACCAACACCTTGCTGTAAGACAGAATGGCATCAATGTAACACTCAGTCTATCACCACCAACACCTTGCTATAGGACAACATGGCTTCAATGTAACACTCAGTCTATCACCACCAACATCTTGCTGTAGGACAACATGGCTTCAATATAACACTCAGTCTATCACCACCAACATCTTGCTGTAGGACAACATGGCATCAATGTAACACTCAGTCTATCACCACCAACATCTTGCTGTAGGACAACATGGCTTCAATGTAACACTCAGTCTATCACCACCAACATCTTGCTGTAGGACAACATGGCTTCAGTGTAACACTCAGTCTATCACCACCAACATCTTGCTGTAGGACAACATGGCTTCAATGTAACACTCAGTCTATCACCACCAACACCTTGCTGTAGGACAACATGGTTTCAGTGTAACACTCAGCCTATCACCACCAACACCTTGCTGTAGGACAACATGGCATCAATGTATCACTCAGTCTATCACCACCAACACCTTGCTGTAGGACAACATGGCATCAACGTAACACTCAGTCTATCACCAACAACAACTTGCTGTAGGACAACATGACTTCAATGTAACACTCAGTCTATCACCACCAACATCTTGCTGTAGGACAACATGGCATCAATGTAACACTCAGTCTATCACCACTAACATCTTGCTGTAAGACAAAATGGCATCAATGTAACACTCAGTTTATCACCACCAACACCTTGCTGTAGGACATCATGGCTTCAATGTAACACTCAGTCTATCACCACCAACATCTTGCTGTAGGACAACATGGCATCAATGTAACACTCAGTCTATCACCACCAACACCTTGCTATAGGACAACATGGCATCAATGTAACACTCAGTCTATCACCACCAACATCTTGCTGTAGGACAACATGGCTTCAATATAACACTCAGTCTATCACCACCAACATCTTGCTGTAGGACAACATGGCATCAATGTAACACTCAGTCTATCACCACCAACATCTTGCTGTAGGACAACATGGCTTCAATGTAACACTCAGTCTATCACCACCAACATCTTGCTGTAGGACAACATGGCTTCAGTGTAACACTCAGTCTATCACCACCAACATCTTGCTGTAGGACAACATGGCTTCAATGTAACACTCAGTCTATCACCACCAACACCTTGCTGTAGGACAACATGGTTTCAGTGTAACACTCAGTCTATCACCACCAACATCTTGCTGTATGACAACCAGGCTTCAGTGTAACACACAGTCTATCACCACCAAAATCTTGCTGTAGGACAACATGGCATCAATGTAACACTCAATCAATCACCACCCTACATCTTGCTTTAGGACAACATGGAATCAATGTAACCCTCAGTCTATCACCACCAACACCTTGCTGTAAGACAGAATGGCATCAATGTAACACTCAGTCTATCACCACCAACACCTTGCTGTAGGACAACATGGCTTCAATGTAACACTCAGTCTATCACCACCAAAACCTTGCTGTAGGACAATATGGCATCAATGTAACACTCAGTCTATCAACACCAACACCTTGCTGTAGGACAGCATGGCATCAATGTAACACTCAGTCTATCACCACCAACACCTTGCTGTAGGACAACATGGCATCAATGTAACACTCAGTCTATCACCACCAACACCTTGCTGTAGGACAACATGGCATCAATGTAACACTCAGTCTATCAACACCAACACCTTGCTGTAGGACAGCATGGCATCAATGTAACACTCAGTCTATCACCACCAACACCTTGCTGTAAGACAGAATGGCATCAATGTAACACTCAGTCTATCACCACCAACATCTTGCTGTAGGACAACATGGCATCAATGTAAAACTCAGTCTATCACCACCAACACCTTGCTGTAGGACAACAAGGCTTCAATGTAACACTCAGTCTATCACCACCAACACCTTGCTGTAGGACAACATGGCATCAATGTAACACTCAGTCTATCACCACCAACATCTAGCTGTAAGACAGAATGGCATCAATGTAACACTCAGTCTATCAACACCAACACCTTGCTGTAGGACAACATGGCATCAATGTAACACTCAGTCTATCACCACCAACATCTTGCTGTAGGACAACATGGCATCAATGTAACACTCAGTCTATCACCACCAACATCTCACTGTAGGACAACATGGCACTAATGTAACACTCTGTCTATCACCACAACACCTTTCTGTAGGACAACATGGCATCAATGTATCACTCAGTCTATCACCACCAACACCTTGCTGTAAGACAGAATGGCATCAATGTAACACTCAGTCTATCACCACCAACACCTTGCTGTAGGACAACATGGCTTCAATGTAACACTCAGTCTATAACCACCAACACCTTGCTATAGGACAACATGGCATCAATGTAACACTCAGTCTATCACCACCAACATCTTGCTGTAGGACAACATGGCATCAATGTAATACTCAGTCTATCACTACCAACATCTTGCTGTAGGACAACATGGCATCAATGTAACACTCAGTCTATCACCACCAACACGTTGCTGTAGGACAACATGGCATCAATGTATCTCAATTCATTACCAGCAACATTTAAGAGAATAATATGTTATTATGTAATCAAAGATTAGAACTGTATGAAAACACTTCAGTGTTACTACTGGTAAATACATGAATGGCATTACAGCCTCATTTGTCTGCGGTATATGAGACAAAATGCTTGGTAAGAGTTGTCTCCCCTAGACTAAACACTTACAATTCTGTCCGCATCAGTTTTGGCTTCTTCCTGAACACGTTTGAGTTTGGTGCGCTGACTCTCCACCAGAGCTCTCTTCTGGCTGTTATCTCGCTCTAAGTGGTTGATCCTGGGGAGAGATATGAGTCTTAACAAATATAAACCAGGCTTACATAATTTCAGTTTCCTTTCCATGATTCAGAGATAACTTGGTCATGGGTGTCCGTGTGTACATAAATGTATCTTTATGTCACAGGCTAATATCTGTCACTAACACTGCACCATACTTTTCAGCACTCTCACTGATGTTGGTGTAAACAGCCCACCTTATTGTGGTCTGACTGGAACATCCTGGGCTTTGGCACATGCAGTCCCTGCAAATGTTGCAGAGGCAGGTCACATGAGTGCTCTCTATAAAAACTACATGTGTCAGAGGCCCAGCACACACCATGTCAGGCAGCAACTTAACAAGTTGTTGTGACCCACAGGTATGTTGTGAATTTGGAATGTTGTGAATTTGGAATGATTGTTTTAATTAATTATGCAAAAGGTATTTATTTCTCAGGTATGAAGTATATTCAACATGATATTAAACAATGTTATGGGGAAATTGCCAGTGATAAAATTAATTGTTTAAAATACAATTAATTCCATAGAATATATTTTGAGTATTTAATAATTGATAAACATTTATATTATCTGTGTAATGACACACCATGTCAGGCAGCAACTTAACATGTTGTTGTGACCCACAGGTTTCGTGCATACAATAAATATCATCAGCCAGAATGGACTTTGTAGTTCCTGCGACAAAATGGTTGCTCAACGTGGGGCTGATGTGTTATGAAGACGACCTGTGGATGATGTCATGAGACTCCATGTGGCCACGATACAGCAGCTGCAGCAGGTGTAAGCGTCAGCTGGAATATCCCAGGCACCGTGTCTCCTCTTGTGTTCACAAGACCTTCAATAAGGTGATGGGGCCCATTATCACATGTGAGGTTATGACATTGCGGGCATCGTGGTGCACACCAGCGTTATCGGCGTTATATTTCGCGTTGTTTTGTGTCAAGAAAATGACTCTTTATGTTGACTTTTTGCTGATGTGAATGTTAGCATGTGACTTTTGATTATCGTTTTTGAAGTCAGCATGGGACCTTTGATTATTGCTTCTTTGATGTCCGCACGTGATTCTTGAGTGATTTGTGGACATTGTGGATGTCCGCACAAGACTTTTTGATTATCGTTTGTCAGCATGTGATTCTTGAGTATCACATTATTGGACATTGTGGATGTCCGTACAAGACTTTTTGATTGTCGTTAATTGATAGCATGTTTGTGACTTTGTTGCACAAGGCAAGGCTTGAAGATTTCTTTTGTGTATTTTGACTGTTATGAATTTGACATGGCCATTTGAAATGGTTGTTTGATGTTATTTTGGAATTCTGTGAATTGTTGTTTTATGACATTCTGCATGATTATTTGGTTAGAATACTTAAAAAACTGGCTATAATAAATTCAGGCAGGGGCTTACTTGGAAAGAATGAATTGTCTGTGAATGGTCTGAATGAAATGGTTATCTACACCCTTCATTTCACACAATGTTATTTCACTAACATTGAATTCCACGCACTGACAAATTTTTACAGTGGCTAATTGATGACACTAATGGTTGATTGTTTTTCAGATAGCAGCTTGTTCCAGCAGTGTGAACTTCCTCTACAGTTTTGCACTTATGTTGCCTGAGAAGGTTTTGCATATCTATATTTGTTGATCGCCTTTTCAGTCATCAGCTACTGGTGGTAAAGAGGACTGGGAAGGGTGTAATTAGGAAGAAGAGGGCATATTGGCCATGAGGATTTACAGAAAATGATCAGGTTTATGGAAACATCTGGATATCATGTACTTCCACCAAGTTCATCACCTCGACGGAGGGCAAGTAGTTCTTTCTGTTCACCTAATACACAGTATATTCAGCCACCTCGCATTTCAACATTTTCTGGTAGTGATGCTAAAGGGGAGTCATCCTTTGAGAGTTGGGTTTTTGAAGTCAAATGCTTGTTGGCAGATGGGGATAATCCCACTTCCATTCTCACTCAGGCGGTTCGTAAATCTCTTAAGGGAGAGGCTGGGAAAGTTGTACTCTTACTTGGTGAATCTCGGCGGTTGAGGAAATACTGGTCAAACTTGAAAGCATATATGGTGTTGTAAGTTCAGCTGACACACTTTTGCAGAACTTTTTCACTGATTATCAGAAGGATAGTGAGTCAGTGGCAACGTGGGCCTGTAGGCTTGAGGACACATTGGTGAAAATTAAGAGTAAAGGCGACTTCATAAATGAAGGATCGGGAGATTGTATTCTGAAAACAAAGTTTTGGAGTGGTTTGAGAAACGATAAACTTAAGGATGCTACTCGTCACAGATTTGATGACTGTACAGATTTTAATTCTCTGCTTCGTGTTGTTAGGGAAACTGAACAAGAACTCTCTGGATCTAGTAGGGTTAGAGACCCTAACCAGAGAAAACCTCAGGTCCATTCGCAGGTTGTTGATTCTGATATATCGCAACATTTGAAGGATATTATCAAGAGGTTAGATAACTTGGAAAAAACTCAGAAATCTTCAAGTCAACGTTGGAAAAGGATGTTGGCGAGATGGTCACCAGGTTAACACAACTTGAGTCTAGGGTTGGAAAAGTTACTGAATCTGTCAGTTATTCTGGTTCTCGTGGTCGTGGCCAGACTCGTGGTAGAGGTATCGTCAGTAATAAGGCTTTAAACCAGTGTTGACTTCTGTTGAGGAGCAAACAGATGTCAGTGATACTCACAGCTCCAATGATTTGTATTCCCGGATGGTTGGTCCGAGTGTTGAGGCTGATGTCTTAAGCGTAATGGCAGGAATGTTTAGTCTTGCTTGATACAGGTTCACAGGTAACAACTATTGCAGAATCGTTTTACCGTGGATAGCATGAATGATCTTGAGTTACAGTTTAGATGAGTTTCAGTTGGAAGTTAGTGGTGCAACTGGTACCAAATTGCCATACTTAGGGTATATTGAGGTTCCCATTAGCGTTGCATTTGATACTCTACACGTATGTCATTCCAGTCCTGGTAGTAAAAGACACAGGGTTTAATGCTACAGTTCCCTGTAATTCTTGGTACAAATGCACTCAAATTATTCCGCGAATTGTCCTTTGGATGATGTCTCGGAATCGTGGCAGACAATCCTGGATTATTTGAATACCTCAAGCGTCGGTATTGTCAGATCAACCAGTAAACATCCAGTTTCAATTAAGCCCATGGCAGTGGCTACATTGAGGGGTATAGTCCATACCCAATCCAGAAAATGACTGCTGTTACAGAACAGATAGAAAATAGTAGCACACCTCAAGGGTTAGGTGTATGTCCTCAGGTGGTGGAATTAGGGGCTCAAGGCAAAAGTACTATAGTTCATGTCAAAGTTTGTAATTTGTCGGCAAGGGAAATTACACTCCCAAGTAAAGCCAAGCTATGTAATTTGCAGGAGGTACAAGTTATGAATTGTTTTCCTCTGACTATAGACAAGTCTCCTTGCTCTGATGGTGAGGTTCCTCCCGTTACCATTGACTTAGAGGGCAGCCCATTATCATGTGATCAGAAACACAAGCTAAGGTCTTGTTTGAGTTTTTCCTTCATTATGGGTTTCCAGCTCGACTACATAGTGACAAAGGAAGAAATTTTGAATCCAAAGTGATCAGAGCTTTATGTAGACTTGCAGGTACAGTGAAGACTAGCACCTCACCATATCATCCTATGGGAAATGGTATGGTAGAACGGTTTAACCAGACTCTTCTCAAAATGTTAGGTACTTTGGAGGATAATCAGAAGGAAAATTGGAAAATATATGTTCCAGCTCTTGTCCATGCATACAATGCTATCAAACATGATAGTACAGGTTATTCACCTTTCTTTCTCATGTTTGGACGCCATCCATGTTTAGCTTTGGATGCTTTTCTTGGTCTATGCTTTGAAAACTTACATGAAAGGTCTGGGACAGATTATGTGTCACAATTGAAGGAAAGGTTGAAGTTTGCTTATAAGGTTGCTTCTGAGCAATCCGAAAAAGCTGCTAGTCGTCATAAGATGAGATATGACAGTCGGGTGAGGGAAGCTGTTCTTTCTGAAGGTGATAGGGTTCTGGTGAAGAATGTGGGTTTGAAGGGAAAACATAAATTGGCAGATTTTTGGTCTCGTGAGTCTTATGTTGTACTTCGCCAGCCCAACAGAGATATCCCAGTTTACATCGTCAAACGAGCAGACGGACAAGGCTCCACAAAGACGTTGCACAGAAACATGCTCCTTCCTTTCATGTCTCTCCCATCTCCAGGTGAACCAGTATCCCGACAGGATGAATCAAATCAGGGAGTGGTCTCTGAGGAATCTGATCATCTTTCGTCGGATAACAGTGATTGTGAAGATTGGGTAGTTGTCTCTCAAAGTGGCCTTGGAAACGGTGGTGTTTCTCTCGTTTCATCTTCTCGTGAGGTTTATACTCCCGCTATTTCAAATGATGTCAATGTTGTAGATACAAATCAGGAGCAGAATATGGATGTTCAGACTCCTACCAATCTTGATCCGCAAGTCAGTCCATTCGTACCGCGGCGATCTCCTCGTGAAAGAAGACAACCGACTTGGTTCAGTGATGGTAACTGGGTCATGCAGCATCAGGCCAATACTGAAATCTTCGTCTGAGAAAATTCATTCTTTGCAGATAACGTGTATATGTATGCTAATATGAACTGTTGATTTTAAATTTCAGATGGTGATCGTCTTTGAAATGTCAGTGACGACATTTTCACGAAGAGGGGGAAGGTGTCACAGGCTAATATCTGTCACTAACACTGCACCATACTTTTCAGCACTCTCACTGATGTTGGTGTAAACAGCCCACCTTATTGTGGTCTGACTGGAACATCCTGGGCTTTGGCACATGCAGTCCCTGCAAATGTTGCAGAGGCAGGTCACATGAGTGCTCTCTATAAAAACTACATGTGTCAGAGGCCCAGCACACACCATGTCAGGCAGCAACTTAACATGTTGTTGTGACCCACAGGTATGTTGTGAATTTGGAATGTTGTGAATTTGGAATGATTGTTTTAATTAATTATGCAAAAGGTATTTATTTCTCAGGTATGAAGTATATTCAACATGATATTAAACAATGTTATGGGGAAATTGCCAGTGATAAAATTAATTGTTTAAAATACAATTAATTCCATAGAATATATTTTGAGTATTTAATAATTGATAAACATTTATATTATCTGTGTAATGACACACCATGTCAGGCAGCAACTTAACATGTTGTTGTGACCCACAGGTTTCGTGCATACAATAAATATCATCAGCCAGAATGGACTTTGTAGTTCCTGCAACATTTATGACAGGAATTCCCACCTTTCTTGAAGATTCTTTATCTGCTGTTGTAATCCCTCATTCTCAGACTTCAGGCTTCTAATGGTGGCTGACTGACGAGACAGTTCATTTGATGACACCTGAGAAATGACAAACTTCTTTAGTAAAACAAAAAAAACCCTTCAAGTCCAATATAATTATTATTATTATCATAATGCTAATATTTGTATAGCGCCAATATCCAGCTCAGCTGCTCTAGGTGCTTTGACACTCCTCAATCATTTGATGTCAATCTAAAACAGCAAACCGTATTACCAATCTCAATTCCCTGGGGATCATACAAATCTTGCAGCCACTAGGCGCACCAAGTTAATGTGGCTTTCCCATCCTTATGATGAGACATTAGACAAATATGGAAGGCTGTGACGAAGTGATTTGTGCAATTTCGTTCCATGTACTTATAAACAATTTCAGATTGTCTGGGTTAACCCCCTGGATGCCACAGGGACATATATGTCCTTCCCCTTCAACCCTCAATTTCAAGTCCAATAAAAATCAAAATATCCCACGCACACAAATACACTTCACAGTTTCGAATTCTGCGCGGGAAATTTCCTGTTTCTTGATACCATCCACTATTATTTTAGACAAAGTTCCAGTGCTGAAAATGACCTTTCAAAATAGGCTTCATCGAAAATGTCGCCATTTTTGACACAGTACGAAATCGCGATTCACAGCGTTATTTGCTGTATGTTTTGAAATGTGAAAATCGGATAATTACTGGGAGTATTGAATTTAAAAAATAACATATTCATGATCACTCATATCAGTTTTACATGAAATCGCTAATGAAAATTCTGAAACGTTGCCGAGGAATCTAGAATCGGTTGGGATGTTTTCGAAAATGCACTTACACGAACGCCGTAGAGGGCTTTCCGCCATATTGGATAGTGTTTACAAAATCACGTTTCGCGAAGGCGGGTATTGAGACGCCTATTACATCACGTATATTTCATATTCAGCTTCGAAAAATGCATCAATGAATTCCCCATACAATTTAGAATCAAACTGCAACTGGTCTTTGTCACCAATGCCAACTGTCTAGATAAAATGAGACGAAAGATATTGGGTGTGAAAACGAACGCTGTGCTCGAAAGACTGCGCTGGTTCGAAATGTAAACAGAGACAAAAACCTATTTTACACTGTGTAGCATTTTCTGAAATTTTCCAACATTCATCCGTCTATTCATTGCTTGCAATGGCTCAATACCTTTGGAATATGCATGGAAAGAGTATCGTAGCAAGAAATTATAAATTATAAATAGATACAATGCAATGATTTGATAATTCATAAGAAATTGTCAAAGTTTCCGTGCAGCATGACGCCATGACTTACGCAAAATCACGCAGAACGACAACGGTAATCATCTGCATTTCTGGCTTTTTCTCTAACTTATAGTGAAAACGATAAAAACATATAACAATACACAGATAGTCAGAATCATTCTGATTACGTACATCTCATATTTATGGACAAACGATCCCTGATTCAATGGAAGGGTCCTCGCAAAATCCTGTGTACCCTTGTCAGTAAAGCCGCCATTTTGTAAGAAATCGGTCAGCGCTAGTGATGTCATACGTCAACATTGTTGTACATATTAGGCAATTTCTTTGAGGTGAAGGTCGGTTGAACAAGAGTAAACACAATCGCCCAATCCTTCCGATTACACTGTCAGTATTATGGTGTATATTTTGCGTATAGTTCAGATACTTTTTCATGAAACTGACTACAGTATCCACATTTAGCCTTGTTCAATATCATATCATACGTGCATATAGGGTTTATGGTGTTTTATTCTTTGAATGTTTTTGATTGTTTGAATCATATTTACATAAGAAATTGACATATTTACTGCAATACACCATATTCTAAACCTTTACACAAGTGTTAGAAGATTAAACGTAGCCATAACTGCAATTGCATTAGTTCCTATGATGTACAATATTCAATGCATTTGGACTAATATTGCAGTTTCACATGAACTGGTTAATGAACGGCGATTTAATTCAACCTTATAAGTAAAACTGATAATATTTAATGAACATGATTTATATATGTTATGAAATGTATATATGCACACATATTTAAAGGAATTGTCTTGTTCTTTGCACATTTTTGTGTCGTTTTATAGAGAAAACAATGATGTAAATTGATTGGCCAGATGCGCGTTTGTCGGAAACGTTTTATGATTCACTATCATTGTTTTCGATAATATAATCAATTCATATTCGATTTAAAAATATTGTGATGACAGGATATCAAACTATATTTATACGAAACTTGTTTAAAATATATAAACCATGTCATGTCTAAATTCGGACAAATCTTACATCCATATTCTAATATATAGTACGTACTAGTTCCATATATAAAAAGCTATCTTTTTGCATCTTCCATTGCATACTTATGAAGAGAAATAGCTACATAATCATAAACAAAGAAAATTCTTATCCTAAACAAAATATTCGGGTGTTGTGAAATGTTATTTTTCATTTACGTTAAATTGATGCCAAACAGGTGCGAGTGTTGCTCACAAAAAGATACACAGTCAAACTGTCTAATTGTTGATATATTCAGGACACTATTTAAATGGAAAAATCAGTCATTTTATGTTTTGTCTAAAGAGTGTTAAATTCTGACATAGAAGCCGAGACCTTTCACACAATTAATGAAAAATTAGGTGAGATATGAAACTAATCAGCATACCAATGTCGTCTTTTTCCGACGCCGCAAAATGCATAAAACAAGCAATGACGTCAACTAAAACGGTGTATTATTTTCAGCAATTTCATTACATTTGAAGATATGGCTAGTACTCTGGTATTAACGATGCAAAATTAGTCAAAATACATCTACATAAACAGGACAATATGGGAATCTAAGAACTAACTTATATATCGGATAGGGCCATCCAAATCGTTATGACGTGCTTCCACATGTTGTACGTTGTCATCTTTTCTTATAAATTGTGAAACTACCAAAGTGTATCCTCTCACATTGAGGAACTTTGAATTGGAATAATTTGGTTCACCGTAAACAAAAACTAACGAAAATATAGCGTCCGTATCCACAACAAATTCTCTCCATGTGATCTGAGTTACATTGACCTAGTGTTAAGCATAACGGAGTTATGCCCCCTTATCATTATATGTGTATGACCTCTCTTTCGTCGTTTGAAGTCGTAGAAGAAAATCCATTTTTGACATTTATTGCGAGTCATTTTTAATGTTGAGCGTATAATGTTATGCATAAGCACATAAACCCAATTCATATACACTTATGTCGTTTAGAAATCAGGCTGTATTTTCTTCGCTCACACTTTCCGTAAAGATACCAAATTAAAATATTCGTAGCACAGAACTTTTATCGGTGTGCGATAAAAAGCGGAGAAATGTACTGTTTTTTAACGCATAACAATTTTTTGACAACATTTAGCAAGGTCTATTTCTCAAACCGAGGAGGTAGTTGCACTTATATTTATACTAACGGATAGGAAAATTTAATATTCTACATTTCTGTGTAATTGCATAGCCATACGTAGATCCAGGACCACGCGAGCGCAATTCTCGCACAACGTTCACTTTTCAAACGGTATGAAAATGTGCGCCTGAAAAAAAACTCGGCATCAAGGGGGTTAAAAAGTACTAGCATCTGCACTTTTCTGAGAAAGTCATATCCCAAATATGACATATATTGACATGCTGTGCACTGTTACTTCTAGTCTATAATATCTCAACACATGAAGTGTACCTTGAGTCTCGTCTCCAGCACCTTCCACTCCTGCTCATTGCGACGTTCATGGAGGGTGTTAATGGTAGAGGCGGAGTCGTCCCCTCTGGCAGACACTTGTTTATCCATTTCTTCCTTCTCTTTCTGCATCTTCTCCATCTCACTGGTGAGTCTCTGCAGGCACACACATCACGTGACTGATAGATGCCTACATATACATACACCCTACCTATCTCTGCAGGCACACACATCACGTGACTGATAGATGCCAACATTAACATACACCCTACCTATCTCTGCAGGCACACACATCACGTGACTGACAGATGCCTATGCAGGCACACACATCACGTGACTGATAGATGCCTACATATACATACACCCTACCTATCTCTGCAGGCACACACATCACCTGACTGATAGATGCCTACATGTACATACACCCTACCTATCTCTGCAGGCACACACATCATGTGACTGACAGATGCCTACATATACATACACCCTACCTATCTCTGCAGGCACACACATCACGTGATTGATAGATGCCTACATGTACATACACCCTACCTATCTCTGCAGGCACACACATCATGTGACTGACAGATGCCTACATGTACATACACCCTACCTATCTCTGTAGGCACACACATCACGTGACTGATAGATGCCTACATATACATACACCATACCTATCTCTGCAGGCACACACACCATATTACTGATAGATGCCTACATATACATACACCCTACCTATCTCTGCAGGCACACACATCACGTGACTGAAAGATGCCTACATATACATACACCATACCTATCTCTGCAGGCACACACACCATATTACTGATAGATACCTACATATACATACACCCTACCTATCTCTGCAGGCACACACATCATGTGACTGATAGATGCCTACATATACATACACCATACCTATCTCTGCAGGCACACACACCATATTACTGATAGATGCCTACATATACATACACCCTACCTATCTCTGCAGGCACACACATCACCTGACTGATAGATGCCTACATATACATACACCCTACCTATCTCTGCAGGCACACACATCACGTTACTGACAGATGCCTACATGTACATACACCCTACCTATCTCTGTAGGCACACACATCACGTGACTGATAGATGCCTACATATACATACACTCTACCTAGCTCTGCAGGCACACACATCACGTGACTGACAGATGCCTACATATACATACACCCTACCTATCTCTGCAGGCACACACATCATGTGACTGATAGATGCCTATATTTACATACACCCTACCTATCTCTGCAGGCACACACATCACGTGACTGATATATGCCTACATTTCATTCTGCTCAAACTGTCATTAGCCAATACACAGTTTGGGACATAATGCCTTGGTAATCAAAGAGCTGTATCCATGTTGGAAGAGTATGGTCATAAGTAGCGGTAACAGGGTATTTGACTGACTGCTAAAATGGAGGTCATAAACTGAAATGTCAAAGAATAATTAATTATAGTTTTAAAAGTACTGGTTCATAACACAAACCTGGACAGTCTGCTTTGTGAGTCTGAGTCTCTGATTGGCAAGATTCAGATCTGACTGAGATTGTTGATTGGCCTCTTTCTGTTCACTTAGATTCTTTAGTGCCTGTCCCCGGGAGTCTCGCAGAGCTGCGATCTGGGTAGATAAACCAAAACTCTAGGTACTTACCTCAGGTGCACGCATAAACTCAAACAGTTCACATAAAAGCAGTTAAATTTTCCATTAAGGAATGACACACACAGTTAGATAGTTAGACAGACTTTGTTAAAATAAATGAGATGTTTCTATGACAGAACTTGTACTTGTACATCAAGAAAAAGAAATGAACCTGACCAAGACTTTGGACCAAAAGTTCAAGTGCCATATCAATGGCCTTGGTGTTTGCATCAAAATGTTTTCGATGTCTGTGACTCAGGACTGTTATTGTTGTATAACCGTTTGAACCCACCTGCTGCTGGAGGTGCCCCACTCGCTGTTTGAGAGATGCTAGCTGTCTCGTAGCAGGTGTGACCATCTGTAGGCGGCCTTTCTTGGCTCTCTCTTTCACTGGAGTAGCAAACGGAATGGGGGAAGTTGCAGCCTCTCTGAATACAACTGTAAAACACATGGACAGACTGTCAACTCCCAGTACAGGCCATGAATCTATGACAATGCATGCACTGATGCTCAATGACAATATGATGATGTAGGCCTCCAGTAGTACAAGTAACATGGTAGCATGATATCTAAACAATTGCTGTGTTTTAAGAGAAGCATTCAACATTTTCAAATACTGAAGAGTGTTTTGTACCTCTGTCTGAGCTGCTGGTTGTCAAGGACTCTTGACTCCATGACACAGGGGGTCTTTGTCCTGTGTCTTTCTTGATAACCACTCTAGGCTGTGCTTTCCTAGCTTTCCGTAACTGACAACAAAGAATGGTACTTATATCCAAGCTGATGCAGCATCTTTATAGGCTCTTATACTGACTGGGCGGTGGGGTAGCGTAGTGGTTAAAGTGTTCGCTCGTCATCACGCCAAAGACCCGGGTTCGATTCCCCACATAGGGTGCAATGTGTGAAGACCATTTCTGTGTCCTCGCCGTGATATTGATGGAATATTGCTAAAGTGGCGTAAAACTAGACTCACTCACTCACTCTTATACTGACTGCCTTGTGATGTCTCACGTGTGACCTCTGATACTGCTGTACCCACCTTACCCACATTTCTCCTTGACCCATTGTCTGATGCCTCACATGTGACCCCTGATACTGCTGTACCCACCTTGCCCACAGTCCTCAATGACCCATTGTCTGATGATCTTTGATGTGACCCCGATACTGCTGTACCCACCTTGCCCACAGTTCTCCTTGACCCATTGTCTGTTGTCTCTGATGTGACCCCTGATACTGCTGTACCCACCTTGCCCACAGTTCTCCTTGACCCATTGTCTGATGTCTCACATGTGATTCCTGATACTGCTGTACCCACCTTGCCCACAGTTCTCCTTGACCCATTATTGTCTGATGACTCTGATGTCACCCCTGATACTGCTGTACCCACCTTGCCCACAGTTCTCCTTGACCCATTGTCTGATGACTCTGATGTGACATTTTATACTGCTGTACCCACCTTGCCCACAGTTCTCCTTGACCCATTGTCTGATTGACTCTGATGTGACCCCTGATACTGCTGTACCCACCTTGCCCAGTCCTCCTTGACCTATTGTCTGATGACTCTGATGTGACATTTTTTGATACTGCTGTACCCACCTTGCCCACAGTTCTCCTTGACCCATTGTCTGATGTCTCATGATGTGACCCCTGATACTGCTGTACCCACCTTGCCCACAGTCCTCCTTGACCCATTGTCTGATGACTCTGATGTGACCCCTGATACTGCTGTACCCACCTTGCCCACAGTTCTCCTTGACCCATTGTCTGATGACTCTGATGTCACTCCTGATACTGCTGTACCCACCTTGCCTACAGTTCTCCTTGACCCATTGTCTGTTGTCTCACATGTGACCCCCGATACTGCTGTACCCACCTTGCCCACAGTCCTCCTTGACCCATTGTCTGATGACTCTGATGTGACACCTGATACTGCTGTACCCACCTTGCCCACAGTACTCCTTGACTCCCTATTGTCTGATGACTCTGATGTGACCCCTGATACTGCTGTACCCACCTTGCCCACAGTTCTCTCCTTGACCCATTGTCTGATGACCGGTCCCTGATGTGACATTTTATACTGCTGTACCCACCTTGCCCACAGTTCTCCTTGACCCATTGTCTGATGACTCTGATGTGACCCCTGATACTGCTGTACCCACCTTGCCCACAGTCCTCCTTGACCCATTGTCTGATGACTCTGATGTGACCCCTTATACTGCTGTACCCACCTTGCCCACAGTTCTCCTTGACCCATTGTCTGTTGTCTCATGTGACCTTTGATACTGCTGTACCCACCTTGCCCACATGTTCTCCTTGGACCCATGCTGTACCCACCTTGATACTGCTGTACCCAATGTCCTTGCCCTCCAGTTCTCCTTGACCCATTGTCTGATGACTCTGATGTGACCCTTGATACCCATTATTCGCTGATTTAATTCCTTTCACAGTTCTCCTTGACCCATTGTCTGTTGTCTCACATGTGACCCCTGATACTGCTGTACCCACCTTGCCCACAGTCCTCCTTGACCCATTGTGTCTGATGACCCCTGTGCAGTACCGATGTGCTACTCCATTGGCCCATGTCTGACTGGCTGTGACCACCTTGCCCACAGTTCTCCTTGACCCATTGTCTGACCTGGCTCAGTCACCTGTTTGTGTCTGGTCTGCCACCCACTCCCTTGACCTGGTGTCCTGAAGTGTGTCTCCCATGTGACTGGTCCATTGTCTGTGTGTCTGGTGGCTCTGTGTCTGTCCACTCTGTACTTGTCTGTGACTCTGATGTGCTCCTACTGCTGTACCCACCTTGTGTGTGTGTCTCTGAGACTGGACCCATTGTCCTGATGATTTGTCTGATGTGACATCTTTATACTGCTGTACTCCACTCTGTCCTTGCCCACAGTTCTCACTTGACCCACCTTGTCTGATGTCTCACATTGTTCAAGTGACCCTTGATCTGCCACTGCTGTACCCACCTTGCCCACAGTTCTCCTGACCCATTGTCTGATGACTCCATTGTCTGTTGTTCTCCATGTTCTCCTGGTTGGCCCATTCTGGTGTGTTGTCTCCTGGGATCCTGCTTGTACCCACCTTGCCCACAGTTCTCCTTGACCCTGTTGTCTGTTGTCTCCACATGTGGCCTGTACCCTGTGCTGATTGCACTTGCCTGTTCTCTCCTTGTGTGACCATTGTCTGGATATTGCTCATGCCTGCCACCATTGTCTGACCTGTGGATGACTCACCCACCCACCTTGCCCACAGTTGTCCTGACCCATTGTCTGTGTCTCCACCTGTGCCTGGTCCTCCTTGGCCACAGTGCCCATTGTCCAGTGTGTGATAATGCTGTACTCCTTGACCCATTGTCTGATGACTCTGATGTGGACTCTGATACTGTTGTACTCCACCTTGCCTGTGGCTCTGGTCCCTCCCATTATCTGTTGTCTGGTGTCTCGTGTGGTCCTTCTCCATGGCCATTGTCTGGTGGCTTGATGTGACATTTTATACTCCTGTGCAGTTTTCCGTTGTCTCAGATGACGTGACATTTCTGCTGGCCTCACAGTTCTCCTTGACCTGTTGTCTGTTGTCTCCATGTGACACTCCTTGGATACTGGTGTACTCCACCTTGGACACAGTCCTCCTTGACCCATTGTCTGATTGTCTGGATGTGGCCCTTGACCCATTGTCTGTCGTGACTCTGATGTGACCTCCTGTGTGTGTCATGGCTGCTGTACCCCACCTTGCCCACAGTGGTGACCCGTGTCTGTTGTCTCCACATGTGACCCCTTGATGCTGTGATGACTCTGATGTCCTCCTTGGCCCATTGTCTGATGACTCTGTGTCCTCCCCCGCTACTGCTGTACCCACCTTGACCCAGATTCTCCATGACCCACCGTTGATAAGTCTGATGTGACATTTGATACTGCTGTACCCACCTTGCCCACAGTTCTCCTGTGACTTACATTGTTCAATTGTCTCTGATGTGACCCGATGTGCTGTACCCACCTTGCCCACAGTTCTCCATTGACCCGTTGTCTCATGTCACCTGATACTGCTGTCCCACTCCTGCCCACGGTTCTCCTTGACCCATTGTCTGATTGGCTCTGATGTGACCACTGGTACTCTGATTGTCCATGGCCCATTTCGGTGATGGACTCATTGGTGTGGACACTGCTGTAGTGTCATTTTATACTGCTGCTGGTGGCACCTTGCCCTGAGTTCTCCTTGACCCATTGTCTGATGTCTCTGATGTGACCCCCGATACTGCTGTACCCACCTTGCCCACAGTCTGCAGTCCTTTTTGACCCATTGTCTGATGACTCTGATGTGACACCTGGCTACTGCTGTCCCCACCTTGCCCACAGTCCTCCTTGACCCATTGTCTGTCTGTGACTCTGATGTGACCCTGGATACTGCTGTACCCACCTTGCCCACAGTTCTCCTTCTTGACCCATTGTCTGATGACTCTGATGTGACCTTTATACTGCTGTACCCACCTTGCCCACAGTTCTCCTTGACCCATTGTCTGTTGTCTCACATGTGACCCCTGGATACCGCTAAAAAATTCCACCTTGCCCACAGTCTTCTGACCCATTGTCTCTGATGACTCTGATGTGACATTTTAGATACTGCTGTACCCACCTTGCCCACAGTTCTCCTTGACCCATTGTCTGATGACTCTGATGTGACCCCTGATACTGCTGTACCCACCTTGCCCACAGTTCTCCTTGACCCATTGTCTGATGACTCTGATGTCATATCCTGGGATACTGCTGCCCACCTTGCCCACAGCCTCTCTTGACCTGTTGTCTGATGTGTACCCATTACTTGTACCCACCTTGCCCTCCTTTGACCCATTGTCTGATGACCTTGATGTGACACCTGATACTGCTGTACCCACCTCCTGCCCACAGTTCTCCTTGACCCATTAACCTGGCTGTCTGTTGACTCTTGATGTGACACCTGATATACTGCTGTACCCACCTTGCCCACAGTTCCTCCTTGACCCATTGTCTGATGACTCTGATGTGACATTTGATACCGCTGTACCCACCTTGCCCACAGTCCTCCTTGACCCATTGTCTGATGACTCTGATGTGACCCCCGATACCGCTGTACCCACCTATTGCCCACAGTGTCTCCTGTGACCACCTTGACTCCTGATGTCTGTTGTCTCACTGACACCTGTCTGGACCTTCACACAGTCCTTCTTGACCCATTGTCTGATGACTCTTGATGTGACCCCTTATACTGCTGTACCCACCTTTGCCCACAGTTCTCCATGACCCATTGTCTGATGACTCTGATGTGACATTTTATACTGCTGTACCCACCTTGCCCACAGTTCTCCTTGACCCATTGTCTGTTGTCTCATGTGACCCCTGATACTGCTGTACCCACCTTGCCCACAGTCCTCCTGACCTTGTCTGATGACCATTGTGACCCCGATTGTCTGATGACTCTTGATGTGACCCCATACTGCTGTACCCACCTGCCCACAGTTCTCCTTGACCCATTGTCTGATGACTCTGATGTCACCCTGATACTGCTGTACCCACCTTGCCCACAGTTCTCCTTGACCCATTGTCTGATGACTCTGATGTGACATTTTATACCGCTGTACCCACCTTTGCCCACAGTTCTCCTTGACCCATTGTTGTCTGTTGTCTCAATATGTGACCCTGATGTGACAGCTGTACCCACCTTGCCCACAGTTCTCCTGGACCCATTGTCTGATGACTCTGATGTGACACCG